ATACTAATAGAATTTAACAGTAGTAACTTAAGCATTTTGAGCCTCTTGAATTCTAAAGACTGATGTATTTAGAAAGTCTAAACTTGGCCAGGCTGTTTATAATTCTGTCCAGGCTTTCATTTGATGAATGAGTGGAGACTTAAGGTCAGCCAGGAGTGAGAGATTGTGGGTCTCTTGGGCCTTTTCTGAGTATGCATGTGGTCTTCTTGATTTCCCAGTATATGTGGGCGCTTTTAAAAGCCATATTCTTCACTTATCTCCTTTTCCAAGTTCTTCTTTCCCAGGATTTTTAGTTTTTCTATTGCTTGCTCTAGGCTACTATACCCAATAGTTTTGCTCTTAAGTGCTTTGAGCAAGTTCCCAAATGTTACCCTTGCTTTGATCCCTCTGGGAGTGACTGGGCATGTCGAAACACCCAATCTCAGTTTGCTGAAACTAGAGTCTACATTGCTCCCCCAGCAACAACAATGTAGTCTAGGAGTTCACACTGCCAGCAACCTGGGGGATGGGGGACAAAAAGCAGGCAATTAAAAATGCCACAGTGCTCTCTTACTGCAGTGCAGCAGATTCTTTCTTCATTATGCTTTCTTCTGATTAAGTTTTTGGCCAGATTCTAGAGTTCTGTCAAAACCAATTCTGACATTTTTGTCAGTAGTTATTGTGGAGACAGAACCCTACTCCACCATTGTTAGTGACTTTGCTCCTCTTGTGTTCTTAAAATTATTAGTTTGTACTCATATAAAGAACTTAATCTCCTTCAGACAATGATTTTAATAATATATCATTCTCATGCACATATAAACAAGAAAATATAAGCCAGACATACTGCTTAAGATATTCCTAGACTTCTTCATGTTCACTGCCCCATCTGAATCACTTTTAAAATTAGTATTGTTGATGTTTGGGTTTTATACACAATACTGCTCTCTATCCATTAAGAGAGTTGGTGATGTAGAATCTCTTAAAAGAGCACTTTCCACTATTATCCCTCAGGATTTCACTCCTATCCAGTGACACCCATATGCAGGCAATAATACCAAACACTGTAACTGACACCTTGGCCAATGGTGATTGTCACATGCATCCCAATTTCAACAAAATATGAAAAACTGTGCCTTTAATAATGGGCACTATGACCCTGATCAGGTAGCTCAGTTCGTTAGTGCATTGTCTTGATATGCCAAGATTGTGGGTTCAGTCTCCAGTTAGGGCACATACAAGAGTCAACCAATGAATGTATCAATAAGTGGAACAAGTTGATGCTTCTCTCTCTCTAAATCAATAATAAAAATTTGGGGAAAGATGTGAGATGAATTTTTCCTGAGAAACTAGATGAGAAAATGATTAATACGGCTAAAGTAAGTCATAGAGGGCAATTTTAGTAGGTGCCATTTTAGTAAGGCTCTTTAACCCAGGTGTGCATGAACCCACACTATAAGTGATGGTAGTTTTTATCCTTAAAGGACAGTTAATAGTATAACATCAACATTGTGTACTCTTTCTGGGTAATTCTAAAGCAATGTTTGTCCTTCTAGAAAGCCTATTAAATACCCCATAGTATATCATTGGAAATTATCTCTGGACTTGAATGCAGAAACTCTGGCAGGAGTTTGTGGAGCATTTAGTGTTTGGACCCAACGTATGGTGAATGAGAAGCCGAAGCCAAGAGGAGGTGCAAGATAGAGTCCAGGTTTGAATAGGAGCAGTGATTTGATAAATGGAATTGAGGAGAAATGCCTGCCCTAAGTTGAAGGGAACTTAACCAGGGAAGACAATCTATACTAAGTCTTCTCAGCACTTGACAATGTGAAGAGCTAGCAACTTAATACCCCGTCAGATCTGCTAGTATAAATCTTATCTTTCTCCAAGTGCTTTAGACTCAAAAGAACTTTTTGGAATGTTCAAGAGACTGGAACTAAAAAACAGGATTGAAGGAGCATTACCACCACAAGATGGCACTGCTTTAGTAGATCTGGAAGAAACAGCTGTGCACGGACCTGGATCAGGATCACGGGCAGTGGGGGTTCCTCTGGTTCCTGGTGGGGTTCAGGAACGGCAGCGGGACCTGGCCAACTCCTCGAGCTGCAGCCAACAGCATTTAGGGTGGCCGGCAGCTCGGGCGCAGTGATGGGACTCCTTCACCTCCTTTAACCCTGTCCTGCTGCCCCTTCGGCGAGGAAGCCTCGGCTGTGAGGCCGAGCGGTGTCTGTGTCTGAAGAACGTCTCCTTACTCTACCCCGGTCGCTCTTCCCTGGACTCCCTCTCACTGACTTTGGGAACCGGTCCGGGACTGCGCACCACAGCCAAGTCCGGGTTTTGATTTTACTCCCAGCTCCGACACCACAAACAAGAAGGAGAGGAGGATCCTGAGGGCGGGCAGAGGGAGGGTCATTCCCAGCAGGACTGTTTGGGCCCACACAATGAGGGCGGGGGGAGAAAACATACGCCTCTCCCCTCACACACGGGGTGGGGGGAGCTCCGGGGTGTAGAAGGAAGAGTGCCACAGGGGAAGGTTCAAGGGGCGGCTCCGGGACTGGGCGCAGGCTCCTAGGACAACGCTCTGTTGCCCACTGCTCCCCTTCCCCACGGCTCTGGAGCCGAGGCGGGGCCTGTGCGTCAGCTGTCCTAGAAAAGGCGCGGGCCGGACCCAGTGAGGTGACAGCTGCGCTAGAACACAGCCAAGCCAGACGCCACCATGAGTTCCGCCCTTTTCAGCCTAGACGCCCCGGCGCGCAGCGCGTTCTGGCCCGCGGATCCTGCGCCTTTCTACGAGCCTGGCAGGACCAGCAAGCCGGCCCGCCTGACCGAGCCCAGCGCCTCTGCCCCCGCCATGTATGACGACGAGAGCGCTATAGATTTCAGCGCCTATATTGACTCCATGGCCGCGGTGCCCACCTTGGAGCTGTGCCACGACGAACTCTTCGCCGACCTTTTCAACAGCAACCACAAGACGGGCACAACGGGCACGGCGAACGCCCTGGAGCTGCTACCTGGCAACCTTGCACGAACTGTGGGCAACGCAGCCCCGCGACCACTGAAGCGCGAGCCGGACTGGGGCGACAGTGACGCGCCAGGCTCACTGCTGCCTGCGCAGGTGGCCGCGTGCGCGCAGACCGTGGTGAGCCTGGTGGCCACTGGGCAACCAACACCACCCACGTCACCGGAGCCGCCGAGGGGCAGCCCGGGGCCGAGCCCTGCGCCAGGCCCAAGCCCCGCGCCGGGCCAGGCCCGGGAGAAGAGCTCCGGCAAGAGGGGCCCCGACCGCGGAAGCCCGGAGTACCGGCAGCGGCGCGAGCGCAACAATATTGCCGTGCGAAAGAGCCGGGACAAGGCCAAGCGGCGCAACCAGGAGATGCAGCAGAAGTTAGTGGAACTGTCCGCTGAGAACGAAAAGCTGCACCAGCGTGTGGAGCAACTAACGCGGGACCTGACTGGCCTCCGGCAGTTCTTCAAACAGCTGCCCAGCTCGTCCTTCATGTCGGCCACCGGGGCTGCGGACTGCCGGTAACGCGTAGCCCGGGGTTGGGGCGCGGGACACTCACCAACAATCCATACCTCAGACCCGACGGGCCGGAGCGAAGTGCGCCCTGCTGAGACGCTGCTAGAGCCACTAGGCGCCCGCTGCAGTTTCTTTGGGACGTGTGAGTGAAAGGAAGATCCAGCCTGGACTTGGCTACCATTGAACTTTGAGAGAAGCTATACATGTTTATTTTCCCTTAAATTATTTTTATAATGGTAGCTTTTTCTACATCTTACTCTTATTGATGCAGCTAAGGTACATTTGTAAAAAAAAAAAGACTTAAGACAACCCTTTGTATTGTAGATAAGAAAAGACTGAGCATGCCCACTTTTTTATATTAATTTTTACAGTATTTGTAAGAATAAAGCAGCATTTAAAACCACTCTGATTCCTGTATTTAAGGTGATTCCTGCACGCTAGGGGCCTCAGGATCCCTCTGGGCGGCAGCATTCTGGGGAATGGTGCATTCCAGTACCAGGTGTGCAGCTCGGCATCTTGAAGGCCGCACGGGATCCAGGTGTGTCATCCCCGACAGGGTACCAAGATCCTTATGAGAGTCTGCTTTGCTTTTGAAACATGCCAAAGTGTACCTCCATATGTTTTATCTAACTTGCGTAAGATCAGCGAAGCACGACTAAACTCACGTAAAGTTAGTGAATTTCTGGTGGAAGGTGCTCCGAAAAAAGTACTTGGACTTGGGGAGGGTACTGGCTGGCCAACTGGCCCTGCAGCTGTTCTGGGACCCTATGGAGAACAGCTGAAGAGCTCCCTAACATTAGTTGGCTGCTCGAGGGCTGAGGGGGAAAAGGATGGCTTAGATTATTCTAAAAGCATGTTTGAATTATCGTTGCTTTTCATGGGACTTTGCTTTCACTTTCCTGTCTCATGGACAGCTACAAGTAGATTTTCAAAGTGCGTGTGGATGCAAAATAGTCATGTAGTAGATGAAAAGGACAGCCACAAAGCTACTTAAAACCAGCTATTTTGCCAGTAATGGTAATGTTTCAAAGCTTAATCTGGATAAATAAATAAAGCTTTCTCCTTTCCCCCAGTGAAAGTGGGTACTAGGCACCCTTTCTTGATCTTGGCTAGTACATCTATGTTATGTAATTAATTAACTATGACCTGTTATGATTATATCATTATAAGGGAGAAAAAAAGTCTAGTGTCCAAAGCTAATTAATTCATGGTTTTACATTTAATTTATATCTCTGCCAAGAAAACAAATGTTAACAATCTACTCCTCTTTAGTCTGTGATTTTGGCTCTTTGTGCACAGTATCCAGTATGATTAAACAGGCCTATCTAGAGATAGGCTAAGTATATCTCTGTTCAGTATACCAATAATCTTATTTGTATAAGATTAATTTATACACTGGTTAACTTATTTACACTTTATGGGTAACATTTTAAGCTCTGACAAAGTTCCCCAGAACATCCCCCCCCCAAAAAAATACTAAAGTTAAAAACAAAAGTGCAAAATGCTTAGGTTGGACATTTATTGCAGAATAGTAATATAGCAATGTAGGACAAAGGTTTAAGCTTTGCAGTGTGTTCTTTGGGGGGCTGTTAGAACAAATACTGTAAGAAAAACATGTTGAATTTTGGTAAAATTTAAACACTTTAAAATTGCAACTGAACAAATTTTTTTTTGCTACATTAATATTATTGCCTAAGATAAATACAAAATGAAGATCTCTAGCTTATGTACGTTTTAGCAACTGTTATGTTCCTGAGTTTGCAGAAAGGTAATAATATATAACTGTAGAAGAAGTGTTTTGATTTATGCTTTACAAAAACGTTTTATTAACATGTGCCACTGAGAAATCTTAAGTTCCATTTCAAGATCATAAAATATACTTATTTTTCACATAGTTAACAAGTAACTACCAAAAATCACCATCAGCACCCATGCAGCCACCCTGCAATCTTCAGATTCCTATGACAACCCATGGTAATCTCAGGAGGCTCTTTCTTCACTCAGAAGCTCAATTTCCTCCAATCCAATGCAGCTGGTTGGGTGCGTGGTTATGGACTGGACAAAACAATTTAACAACCCCACCTTCTTTCCAATGACACTCTCCACTTCATAACTCTGCAGTGAGAAAAGGCATGCTGGTTAAAGCAAAAAGAGTTAGACCTGCACGTTCTGTTCCCAACACTACAGACCAAAGAGCAGAGAAGACGGCCCTTTCCCAGTTCATGACTTTCCACTCTTGAAATGGTTGAGGACAACACTGGTAAAGAGACAGGGAAAAAAGATGAAGGGCTGTGATAAAAAGCTCATTTATATGGCAAGTGAAGGGACTATTTTTTTCTGATAACTGAATCCTGTTTTTACACAAGAACATTTTAAAATATCTTATTGATGTTTGTTAGGGAATGTAACTAATCATCTCTTAGCTGGCCGTCCTAGGAGAGGAACTGAAGGTTGGGGGAAGACCTACAAAGGGATGTTCATTACCTGCGAATGCTAGGGGCTGGGCATGCATCATGCTTGCAGCTATCTCCCACTTCCTTTGGGACACTTCTGGTCAAAGGAGTTTCTAGTACTTTGTCCCAAACTTCCCTCCTTAACAGAATACTCTTTCTTCTAGAGTTACACTGAGCTAAATACTTCTATATTGTATTCAGAAAGCTTTTCATTTACATTCTGTTTGATGACTATCTTATGATGATTAGCTTATCTTGGGCATTTTCATCTCCAGATGGACACAGGGCACTGGGCAGCAGCAGTACCAGATGCCTAGGCCAGGAAGGTGTAGTGTGCCCTCTTTAGTCTCCCTAGATCAAACCTCAGTACATTTTCTTTCTGGGGTAGGAGGTGGGGCTGAAAATAAAGAGAGGCTGAAATACATTGGGTAAAATGACATCCCTGGGCTTGCTGGAGACTGAAGCCCTAGAAGGTAATGTGTTCTTTGAGAAACTCCTTTGCTGCCACCTGCAGAGTAATATCAAGAGCATATCTCATTTCTCTGAGCAAGAGCCTTGACAAATCTCTACAATAGCTTTGTCCAATATGTATTGAACATATACATCTTGGGTCTAGGCTGGACTTAGCGACTGGCTTTCCATGAAAAGAGTGTAGTGGACAGAACAATGAGTACATCCCAAGCTTGGTAAAGAAAGGCACCCATCTTCTTCTGCCTGTCTCTCTTGGGACCCAGACACATGTTGTAGGGGGTTTGGGCTGCGTGGGTGTCTGGTCAGAGCCTGGGCAGGTCTGAGCACATCTAGCTGGGGACTGAAGACCTTCTGTAACTCCAGCCCAGCCTTTGGGGCACCAGCTGATGCCACTGTAGCAGAGATGAGCTGTCCTGGTAGAGCCTTGCCCAAACTGAAGGTATGTGTACAGGATAAGTGTGGAAGCCACCAAGCTTTGAGATGGTTTGCTTGAAGCAATACATATCAGCATCAGTCTGGGATGTGAACACCGCTCTAATGTCAACTCACTGGGATACTTTCATTTTCCTATCTATAAAGACAGGCATGCATGGTATGAAATACCTAGCCTATCCAATGTGATTTGTGGAGTTTTGGTTGCTCAGCTTGTTAGAGCATTGTCCTAATATGCCAAGGTTGCAGGTTCAATCCCTGGTCAGGGCACATGTAAGAATCAACCAATGATTCTTGCATAAGTAAATGGAACAACCAGTTGAGGTTTCTCTCACACAAAAAAAAAGAGTTTTGGTTGCTTAGTATAAAGAGTTAGTGTAAGGTCAACAGAGTGGTTTAATGGAGTCAGAGGGAGTGAGAGTTGCTAGTCAAGACAGGTGAAATGATGAACCTAAAAGTATCTAACTTGACAGTGGTGGGAAGGCCTTCCTGTGGCTTGGGATCACATGGGACATAAATGTCAACATTATGGCCCACTCCCTTGATCATTCACTGAGGGCTTACTATGAGCCCATGATGGGGATGTCCCTGAAGAAATGGCAGTGAACAGGACAGAGTTGCAAGGCTGCCAGTCTGAAGAGAGAGCACAAGGTGATGCACAGTGAAAGGTCACCCTACAGGGGTGGGAAGACTGAGATAGGACAGCTAGCTTCTTTCTTGTCTCTTACCATTTTAGTTGGCCTTGCATGTTTACTTGGGGTAAAGGTATGGAATTCTGACTTGAACAAATTCAGCAAAATCATTTTAAAAAATATCAGGTTTGGTGGCTACAGTCTTCAATAATTACTGCTATCATTTATAAATGGAGATTAAGTTACAACTGGTTTATATTTGGTGGAAATTAAAACAACTGTACCCATCATGTGTACTCTCACAGAAATGTGTATGTGCATGTGTGCCTCTCTTTTTAAAAGGCACAATATATTTTCCTTTAACTTTTCCTAAAGCCAAGGAAACAAACTCCAAATTTCATATCACTGTTATGTTACCTTTGAGAAATGACATGTACAACAGCAGCCAATTCCATTGTTTTCAATTCTGTAGTGGGACCACAGTAAAATGAAGGCACAGAACTTAACACTCATGTATCCTAACCAGAAGCAGTGCCTTGTTCAAGGCAATGGAGTTATGGTTCTCATGGAAAATCCTAATGCAATTCTCTGGATTTTGGCAAATGTGCTTCTCACACCCAGAAAATGGACAGAATCCAGACTGGAAAACTCATGGCTGATGTCTACACATAAGTCCTTTTTGTAAATCCTCACCCAAGGACATGCTTATTGATTTTAAAGAGAGGGGAAGAGACAGGGTGAGAAAGGGAGAGAAACATTGATGTGAGAGAGAAACATCGATTGGTTGTCTCTCTTACGTTCCCCAAAATGGGAATTGAACCTGCAACTTTTTGGTTTATGGAATGACGCTTCAATCAATTGAGCCACATCGGCCAGGGCACACATAAGTCCATTTTATACTCATCTTCCAAAAGCTCCTTTCCAGGTCAGATGTAAAGTTCTGATTATACACTGTGAATGAAGCTGGGGGTAGACGTAAGGAGTTGACTAAAATGTACCTCATGCTTGGAATTTACCTTTATTTTTCTGGTGTCAGCTCTGATAACACAGCACCTGTAAAGTTGGCACCTGAGGCTATCACAACTCAGTGTCCTCATCCAATGCACATGTGCACACACATGCTCTTTTGAGCTCGTGTAGGATTTTACAAAAGAGCATTGCAGTTGAGAAGTTTAATGTGTGGGAGGTACAAGCCAGCCTCAATCAGAAGGAAATCAAGTAAAAAAGAGAGGATTTCTATCAGGGTTTCCTCCTGGTCTTTGGGTCCCTAAGGCAGAGTGGTCAAAGGCTGTCCATCACTGGAGGCTTCCTAGAGGAGGCACCAGGTCACTCTCAGTGGTGGTGGTAGGGTGACTGCAGGCACAGAGTGGCAGGTAGGGTCCTATAGAACTGCAGGGCAAGCACTGCACCTTCCTGCTGTGTGGAATAGCAGGTGAGGTGTGCATCCTCTCCAAGTGTTGTTGGTTTTAGTTTATTTGAGTTGTGGGTTTTGGTTCATCTGTTTTTTCTATGTGTTCTCCTAAAGCAGTTTTACCAGCACTTCCCCCAACGTTCTCCACAGATGTATTTCCCTGATAACCCAGTTCTGTTATCTCTAGCACCTATTGAAAGTCCCATGTTGGAAATCGCCAATCTATCAGTACTACGCCCTTCTTTTTTCCTCCCTTCCTCTCTCCCCCAGGGACTGACAGATGAGGCAACAAGGAATCAGCCAACAGGTACTGCTAACTTGTCACCCGTTAAACAAGCTTTAATAAGAGCAGAAACACACACACAAGAGTCCCTGTTACCCCCACCCTACCCCTCAATCTGGATTGGCTACTAACTCTGCTAGGTGGTCACTTGTGGGGATGACAATGACTTTCCCTCTGTGGGATGTCTCTGCATCCAACAAAAACAGTGGCGATAAGCCCCCCACTCTTTGTTTTCTTCACAAAGGTGGATTCTTCCACACTGGGATGTTGGGAAGATTAAATGAGGCAACATGTAGGAAAAGCAATGAGCACAGTTCTTGGTCCATTATAATGCTACATTTTCCTTTTAAACAATCACGGAACACTTGTTTATAAGCCCTCCTGCAGCCAGGTCTAGACTTCAATCCCTGTTGGCACAGCAACCCTTGTTTAGCACTGGAGTGGGGGGTGGGGGGTGTCACCAAGTTGGTTTAAACAGACATGCCCAGGGAGGGAGCCAGAAACACTTTAGTTCCACAGGTGATTCTACCTTGAAATCAAGAGCTGGAACCATAGCCAGACCAGTGATTCTTAAAGATTCTGTTCATGGATTTATCCACATTCTGATTTAATCCAAACTCTGATAGTCACGGTTTAGATGAAAGAATACAAAACGCTGCCCCACATCCTGATGCTGTCAGCCCCTCCTGAGGTGCAGAAGGGGGTGGGACAACAGATGGCAAGGTGCTGGGGAAGGCAGCCTCCCAGGATGGATCAAATCAGGTTCAAATTCTGGCTGGAATCAGAGCCAGAATTGGGCCATGGGAACCCATCAGAAATTCTGTAGATGATCAGCCTCTCCTTTCACTATAACCTCGTGAGCTGGCCCACGTGTACTACCTAGATGTGGACCCTGACATGGTCACATATACCTTTTGTGGTCTGGGTGGTTGTGCCCTGGCACCACCCCAGTGCACTCGTCTAGGGTTCAGCAATTCCACGGGCCACCTGAGCTTCTAAATGGCAGAGGTGGCCTCTCAAGGACAGACTGCTCTCGTTTATGAGGGCTGACTCTTATGAAGAAGAAACTATCTTTGGCCCATATTCAGATGGTGGTTTTCTTGGAGGAGCACACCACTTTACTGAGTTACACTGTACCGAGGGCACTGCACACTTCACTGAGTTACATTGTAGTAACTCTCAGGGAAGGCAAACTGGTCCTAAGAAATAATGGTAAAGTTACCAGTTACTCAGATTCTGGATACCCAAACTTAAAAAAAAAGTATGTATCTCTCAGATAATTCTGTTACATTAATGTGAAACCATGGCAGTAGAACTTGAAATCTCAATGTCTTACCATAATCCAAAGCCAGGGGCACAGACTCATGTATCTACTGTAAGAATGATCAGGAAATAACCTCAGATTCAAATAGGAAAGATCTCATTGGTAGGCATGGATGTTTGTCAGTGAATAACAGCAGCAGGACTTACCCAGGTCTCAGGATGGTCAAAACACTTAGCATGTGCATCATTATACTGTGGTAATTGAAAGTACATGGGACAGGGGTCTCCATCTGGGGGGTGATCTGGTAACTTAGGGCTTAAGAGCATAAGGACATTCATTTGTGCTGGGTGGCCCTGAACTTACCCCATCCTCACAGGTGGCAAACCTTAGGAGTGAAGAGATACTGCTCTGCATCAGCTGCAACAACAGAAAAGGGGCCAGGTTAAAAAATCCCACTGCTCTACTAAATGCTCATACTAAAAACACTCATGTCCTGAAAATTAGTATGTTAAATATGAACTACCTGTCTTCTCTTTAGTAGCTTTGATCTCAAAGCCTTAAGTCAAATGTGTCTTTTAAAGTCACAGACATAAAAAGGTCGTGTTCCTAAGGATGAGTCCTTCACCCTTTTTTCCCTTCACCCAGGGAAAAAGCAACAGATGCTCAGTATCCTAGCCAGTGAGTCCAAGTGGCTGCATGTGGTGGACATGATGTGCACGGATGCACATGGGCTCCTGGACCAGCTCCTACCTTGACCCTCACTGTGCACTGGGGTCGTGAGGGGCAGTCCAGAAAGACCTGCAGGTGTCTTTTCAGAAGAGGGCAGGTGACCACACGGCAGCAGGCTGCACAGGAAAAGGCGCCTCTGTTGTTTGGAAACACACAGAAGATAAGACGTGAAAATGCACAAGTCAGAGGAGTCTAGCAGTAGACAGGCATTTTTCTAGACACGAATGATTGCTGAGATAGAAAATGTGATTTACTTTCAAAGGCCAAGTTCTTGACATAGGCCAGAAGAAGCCCCGGGCTCAGCCCATTCTGAGGGATAAGCATCAACTTCCTCAGCTTCTGACTAATGGCTTGGTGGGCATGTAACACCTGGAAAGGGACACTTAGGCAAGGGAGCCTCATTCAGGCTGAGCAGAGGATGACAGCAAACATCCCATGAGGCAAAGGGAAGCCCTCTGCCAGGCAAGGGGGAAGTCAGGGCTTCCTATCTGCTGGAACAGGAAAACCTGCTTTTAATCATCAGTGTATCTATACTCCTTAATACTACCAAGTAAACCTATGATTCACACTGTTCTTGTCTCTTAAATACAATCCAGGGATGAGTTGTTTACACATAATGCCATCAACCCAGGAGGCATCAAGGAGACACCTGCCCATTGCTTCTTGAGAAGCAGAAAAGCAATGAGCCCCTTTCTATCCATCATGCGATACAGTCAACTTGGGAGGCCAGAGAACTGACTCAGAGAAATGTCTATACCCAGTGTCAGACCCCAGGCCCCTAGGGAGTGGGTGCAGTAACACTTGCAGAGAAGCAGTGTCTGTTTATGTAGCTGTTCATTGGTCTCTGGAAAAATCTGTGCCCCTGCAAAGGACATGCTGTACAGTTACCAACTTAGTTTTATTTATTCATCTTTATCCGGAGTTTTTCTCTTTTCTCCCAATAATAAGCAAGCTAAGGACAAAAACTGGCTCTTTTCTCTTTCATGACAGGAGCTGCAAGGAATAGCCAAAATCCATGTTATGAAGAAAATACACTGTTAGGCAGTGATGTGCACCACAGCTTCTTTCTTGCAGCTCAGTGGACTTGGCTTTGCTCTGAGCTCATGCCTGGCCCTTGGTGCAGTGGAAGCTGGCCTGAGGCAGTCAGGCAGTAGGGATCCTGGGCCTGGGGGTTGCTGCTGCCTTTGGGTTTTTCAGGCCAGTCACTGCCCCCTTACCTGTCTTCTGGACTCTGCTCCAACCTCTCGTTGCCACACAGGTCACATGTGGGCCATGAGAAAGCAGTGCTCTCATCCACGCCGACCACAGTGCCTAGGCCCAAGTGAAAGCAAAGCCAGTGTCAGAGGTGGGGTCTGCCCTTCCAACTTCTCTTTGCTCCTCAGGACGTACATGGTATCCAAGTGCCTCAGAACTTGTGATCACTTGTGAGTTCACATAAATGTTCCTAAGATTTTTATAACTTACATTTATTGGATGATCACAATTATAACAATAAAAAGTAAGTTTTAAAACCTGCCCACATCACTACCTAACCAACTGTTTTCATTTTTGCCTGATCTTTTCCAGTCTTTTCCCAGATGTGCACATATTGAAATCATTATACACAAAACATTCTATCTTTCAGGATGCTATATAGCTGTTGTAAAAATTGTTTGATCTATCTCATGGAACTATGGATCTGTCTTATGGAACTATGGATCTATCTATGGAATATTAATATTCCACTTAGGTGATACATCACAGTTCCTCAACCACACTCCATATGTCTCCAAATTCCTTTAGCAGTTAGGCAATAGATATCTTTCTCGTTAAGACCTTTTCTGTACTGCGACCCCTTCCTTAGGATAGATTTCTAGAAGTAGAATTACTGTGTCACAGAGTATGAGTACGAGAGATATAGAATCAGCCTTCCAGAAGGTGTTTCCCACAAGGTCTTTCTGGTTCACACTATTACCGTCCACTCACAGAGTGCCACTCTCATTGCACTGCAGGCTGTTCTCACTTTAAGTATTCACCTCTGTAATAGGCATAATGAATTCCTTATCTTGGTTTCCACTTCTTCGATAAGTAAACAAATATTCCTTTTTTTAAATATGTTTTATTGATTATGCTATTACAGTTGTCCCATTTCCCCCTTCTCTCCCCTCCACCCTGTACCCCCTCTCCCACCCGCGTTCCCCCCCTTTAGTTCATGTCCATGTGTCATACTTATGAGTTCTTTAGCTTCTACATTTCCCGTACTATTCTTGCCCTCCCCCATCTATTTTCAACCTACATTCTATGCTGCTTATTCTCTGTACCTTTTCCCCCTCTTTCCTCCTCCCACCCCCCCCCCTGCTGCTAGCCCTCCATGTGCCCTCCATTTCTGTGGTTCTGTTCCTGTTCTAGTTGTTTACTTAGTTTCTTTTGGTTTTGCTTTAGGTGTGGTTGTTAATAATTGTGAGTTTGCTGTCCTTTTACTATACATGTCTTTTCTTTATCTTCTTTTCTTAGATAAGTCCCTTTAGCATTTCATAAAATAAGGGCTTGGTGATGATGAACTCCTTTAATTTGACCTTATCTGAAAAGCACTTTATCTTTCCTTCCATTCTAAATGAGAGCTTTGCTGGATAGAGCAATCTGGGATGTAGGTCCTTGCGTTTCATGACTTGGAATATTTCTTTCCAGCCCCTTCTTGCCTGTAAGGTCTCTTTGGAGAAATCAGCTGACAGTGTGATGGGAACTCCTTTGTAGGTTACTGTCCCCTTATCTCTTGCTGCTTCTAGGATTCTCTCCTTCGTTTTTACCTTGGCTAATGTAATTATGATGTGCCTTGGTGTGTTTCTTCTTGGGTCCAACTTCTTTGGGGCTCTCTGAGCTTCTTGGATTTCTTGGAAGACTGTTCCCTTTGCCAGATTGGGGAAGTTCTCCTTTATTATTTGTTCAAATAACTTTTCCACTTGTTGCTCCTCCCCTTCTGGTACCCCCTATAATTCGGATGTTGGAACGTTTAAAGGTGTCCTGGATGCTCTTAAGCTTTTCCTCGATTTTTTGAATTCTTATTTCATCATGCTTTCCTGCTTGGTTGATTCTATCTTCCTTCTGGTCCACTGTATTGTTTTGAGACTCAGATTCCTTCCTTTCACTATTGGCTCTCCTCCGCGTATCTTCCTGCATCTCTTTTATGGTAACCTGCATCCTTTCATCTAAATTGCACCCAAAGTCAACCAATTCCATGAGCTTTCTGATCACCAGTGTTTTGAACTGTGCATCTGATAGATTGGCTATTTCTTGGTTGCTCAAAAGGATGAGTCCTGGGGGACTGATCTGTTCTGTTGGAAACATGTCTTATGTCTTTCCCTGTCTCTCTCTCTCTCTCTTTTTTTTTTTTTGGTCTGGTCGCTCTTGTTACAGTGGGGGGTGGAGCCTTAGGTGTTCACCGGGGCTGGGCACCCCAGTCGCTAGATTGTGATGTTATATGTGGGGGCGGGGGTGGGAGCGGGGATGGGAGGGAACAATGGTGGTAGTTCCATTCTCCTGGGCTCAGACCCTTCTCTGGGCTCCTGGGCTGCGAGTTCTGCCCTGGTCCACAATCGCTGCCTCACTGGGTCCGCCAGCCGCAGCTTGCGTACTCAGGGATCACCACTGCGTTCTTGTGCCCCGGATGGCTGTCACGCCGATTTCGCGCCAAATTTTCCCCGACTTCCGCGTGCCACCAACCCGCACCAGCCCCATGCCCGCCCAGCTTGTTGTCTCCTACCAGTCTGGATGTATGGGTCTACTTCAACTTCTTGGCTGTCCGACTTCCAGTCAGATAAATCCTCTATCAGTTCTGAGTGTTGTTCTGTCTGCAAATTATTGTTGTTCTTTTCTTGGTTGTGGGAGGAGGTATGGTGTGTCCACCTATTCCTCCATCTTGCCAGAAGTGTAAACAAATATTCTTATTGGTTTGTTAGTATCTCCTAATCTGTGATTTCTCTGGTTTCCTATTCCTTTTTTACTCCAACATCTGTGATTTCTGTTTTCAAAAACAAATATGTACACAATGCTATTTGGTGTGGGACATCTGTGCAGCATTGAACACATAAAGATGAATGCTACAATCCCTACATCACAGCCTCTACCATCTGGTTGGGAAAACAGATAAATAATGAGCAAAAATATCTTGAAATATGGGAGAAAATATTTGCAAAAGATGTATCTGTTAAAGGATTATTATATAAAGTATACAATAAACTATTTTTTATCCTTACCTGAGGACACACCTGCCGACTTCAGAGAGAGGTTAAGGGAAGGAAAGAGAGAGAGGGAGGGAGGGGAACATTGATGGGAGAGAGAAACACTGATAGGCTGCCTCTTGTATGCGGACCAACTGGGGACCAAACTCACAACCTACAACCTTCCAGTCTATGTGACGATGTCCCAACTGACCCATACTGGCCAGGGCTACAATAAATTTATAAAAGTCGGGGAGAGGGAATATGGTGGCTTTACTCTAGGCAGCATTTTTCTCGGCTTCTGTGAAGAGGGGGGAAACTCGCGGATCGGTGGAGAGGCAGAGCAAGTGGGCTGGGTTGCCGAATCACTTTTGAAAGCAGGACATCAGAAATTATTGCACTCACTGGAAAACCAGACTGTAAGGAGGCTGATACAGGACAAAAGGGGCCCAGGGATCAGCGCAGGGTCTGGGGGTGCGCAGACCCCAGGCCCGCCCGGTGCTCCGGGCTCTGCCCCGGGGCTCCCAGGAGAGGGAAGCTGCTGCTCCCTCCCTCCCCCGAATACAGGGGCGAGCAACTCCAGGGGGAACAGGTTGCTAGAAGGAACAGATTGGCCAGTTGGACTGAGAAAAAATCGCCCAGGGAATATGAACACCCGCCCAGAGACCGAGGAGAAGTGAGAGCCTCTAGCCGATAGGACCAGGAGAATTTCTAGCCCAGTGGAAGTGCAGATCGGTGGAGAGCACCAAATGGCCACGCTCAGCGTGCGCCCCATAGGGAAGCTGGAATCGCGCGCTGCATTCCTGGAATCGTGCGCTGCGATCCCGGGAGAGACGTGGTGCTGGGTGCGTTCCTGCAGTGGTGGCTCAGAGATTTCCAGCCAGCCCGACCGGGGGAGCCAGGAAAAGCGCCAACACCCGGTCGGTTGGAGTGCGGTTCGGCGGGGAACACGGAGCTGGAAAGGGCTGGGCTCGCGCACCGTCGTCGGGAAGACTGACTCTCGCGCGCCAGTGTGTTCGGGAGCGCCCAGGGTACCTGACAGACTTGCTGAGATCTGGTTGTGAGAGAAAGAAGCATTTCAAAGGCCCTTCAGCCAGCTGAAGCTAGCAAGATCAGAAAAACTGGTCTGGCCAGTTAGAAACCAACAAGAGGTCTTTTTTTGTTTGTTTGTTGGGTTTTTTTGTTTGTTTGTTTTGGTTTTGTTTGGTTTCTCTGGCTGTTGTTGGTTGATTGATTTAACGTGTGTTTTACGTGACTTTTTTTTCAATTCTTACTATTTTTATCTCGCAATCCCTTATGTTTCTCTTCCATTCAACCTAATATTATTCTTTCCAATCCAAATTTATCTCTCCTGCACTACATCTTCTGCTTTTCTTTCCTTTTATTTTAATCTTGCAAGTTACTGTAAATTTGTATCATCTTTTTCTCACTTTTCAGACATTTTTTTATTTTAATCATATTTGGGTATTCTTTTCCTTTCAGTATAATCTTCTTTGCTTGGCTGGTTATACTGTCATTTGATAGGTTCCCCCTGGTATCTCAGTCACAAGGTGTTGATAACTTACTATCCTTCATCTGTGTTCCATTAATACACCTCTCAAGGTTCTATACTCTTTATTCTTGTTATCTAGACCTCATCGATTCTGCCACAAGACTGTCACTTTACTATTACTGTTAATAAGACCTAGTCCATATAATTGTAAATACTTCTCAATACCCCCTACCTGATCTCAGGCCCACTTTGCAATTTCCTGAACTATACTATTGTAGGGGGTTCTCTCTATTCTTTTACACACTACTCCTATATACTAATCTTTAATCCAACCCTACCTTAGAATCTGACCTCCCACAGCCTCACAGCTTTCTAGATCCAACTATCAATCCTCTTGTCCCCAATAAGAGTCTTACCCTCTTTCCATTCTTTCTAAAACATGGATAGTGGGGTGGAGGATCATGGTTAACACTATAAGGAGCCAAAGGATAACCCATCTCTTCTCTACTGGCTGCTAAAGTAAATATCATAGTATACTGTCTTGCTGTTTTAAACCATTTTGCCTTACTCCTCCAACTGATCCCAAAAAAGAGTAGGGGGAAGCTGTGAACACCAGGATACAC